TATGGGTAGAGTAGTTTATTTTTCCTGTAATACTTCATTATAGTTTTTTAAGACAAAGCTAATTGAAAGGGGCGCTGAGCAGAGTTACAACCAGAGATTACAAATAATAATTACTTTTTTTTCTGCAGTTTGGTGCCCCCTCCAGCAGATGGTGCTCTAAGCGACCGCCTAGTTCGCCTATGCCAAGAGCCGGCTCTGTTGAGCAGGCTAGCTCAACTCAAGGAATATTAGACTAATATTTTAATTAACTAATGATTAATTATGAACTATTATTAGTCTAATAAACTAAACTAATAAACACTGTTAAACTAATAAAATTATTAAGTAATGTTCATTAAAAACAGAAGATTAAGATATATTCTATTAATACTAAATCACCATTTCTAAACATGTTCTAAACATCATAACAACAAAACCTAAACACCAAATGCAAAGTTATAAAATGACTATAGAGCTCTTAAAACATAAAGACAAAGTCAAACATTTAAAGGGGTTTAAGCATTTGAATTACACGTTTATAAGAACAGCAAATAGAGACAATGTTTATTTTGACTTGTTTTTATCAGCAAAATAAGAGACTTCTTGAGAACGAGATCGTTTCTCAAGGGAAAGGAGAAAGTGAAAGGTTTATTTTTTTATAGCTCTACATGAGAGCTGAAAGAGTTCAGTCTGTGGAAGGAGAGATTGACCCCAGGTGGTTAAAGGTCAATCAGTGAGGTGAGGGGAAATGGGCGTGTCCTCTACATTGGCTTTCATTAATGTAATTAGATGCTGTTTATTATTATATAAAACTGGAAATGATGCCGAAGAAACGGATTATTTTCAAACCTTTCCATTTAAGTCCTCCTAAGTTACGGTGAGAAACACGTTTACCTGCTACAGTTGCAGAATTTGTGTTTATCTGAAATTTGCTCCCAATTCTTTGAAAGCAGACATGAAAAAAGTCACCAGGAACACAAGATAAATATATATTTTCATTTTGAATCACACTGAAACTTTCGGCAGCTTTAGAAAAGTTTTGTCAGAGAACAGACCCAATCAGTCCTGTGAACAGAAACCTCCTCGTGCTGCAGCTCACAGAGCGTTTCTCGTGTGTGCACAAAGCGCAACCTTTGAACAGCTCTATTTTAAGAAAAGAAGAAGTGCAGACATGTATTTGGGCCTTGTTGCCGTTTCTTGTCAGAGACTGGGTCCTCCCTGCTGAATGTGTCCCCGCCTCTCCACGCTGGCTGTAAAAACTCCCCAAAAGATTTCCTGCCTCTTCAGTCTCCTGAGCGCAGCAGCTGTGTGCATCATGAATGGCAGCAGTTGGTGGGCGTCAGGGTTGGTGGTTTGACTGCGACGATGGTTGGCAGCATGTCGGGTCGTGGAGTTCAGCTGATGTTTGGAAGCCACTCGCAGGATCTGATCTTTGGTAAAACAGCTAGACATCTGATAAAAGTTTACGTTTTGTGCGTTTTTCTCTGATTGTTGGATTTATCAGGTTGTCACTAAGCTTTTCCTCACATTGAAGGTTTGGTGTTGGTCTTCTACACCACGCTCTCCTCACACATGCGAGCCTCTGCAGGTAGGATTGTGTCACTTAGTGGAGACCGGGGACAGTTGCAACACTTTTACATTTGACTATGTTACTCAGAGATGGTTTGAATTAGACAAACCAAATTTTCATAAAATAAACTTACATCTGTCTGTTAATAGTCAAACCCATTTGATTAAATCATGTACATTCTTCACTATTTGTATTTGAAAATGAAAAGTCAGATGTTGCAACTGATCCCAGAGTCGGGGACAGTTGCAACATTGTTTGGGGGTGGTTACAACATATTATTAATACAATTTCTTTCACTGTAAATAAAAGTTTTATTATTTTTATATTTATATTATTGCTAAATTAATAAACTGTAAGTTATAATGATATTACAGTGTTATTTATTTATTCTTTTTTATCAAATGATGAATTTAGATTTGATGAGTAGACCTTATATACAGATGTCTAAGACTCTAATTGATATAAAATACAGTTGACTTTTAGAGACAAGGATAACAGAACAATTTGTGAGACAATTAACTTTAGTTTTGRCTYTTGTCYCTGTACGCCTACATTATGTAACATTTACATTGAAACAAACTGGGATTTTAAAACCATTGTTGAAAACAACAACTGCAGAAAATACATCTTAAACATAAGTTTTAAATTATAAAATTATCATGAATACCCAACACCCTTTTAAGTGTAAACATAATTTCAACATGTTAATCTCATCTYTATGTGCTCTGTTTTTATATGGATTTATCGTATGGGGACAGTTATTACAACTGTTACAACTGTCCCCCTTCCTGTCAGCCATGATAAAACCTCATGTGTTAGCTYAATAAGCTCATCTGGATACATGTTAACTAGATTAGTTAAAAGTCAACATATCACTTGTTTAAACCATATACAGTAAGTTTGAGCTGGATCACAAAAACAGTGACAACAGTAGAACAAAAATAAAGCTGGGTAAAAAAATACTTTGGTTCCTCAAAAACAGTTTTTTTTTTCAAATAAATCCTGGATCAGTTTTTGAATCTGTTTACTTTTTCTTTACAAGGTGGGACATCTAACTGAGCATGTACAGTGTGAGTGTCATCACTCTACACTGTTTCTGTTTGGAGGAAAATGACGTGTTGCAACCGTCCCTTGTTGCTACTGTCCCTGATTTACCTTACTGGAGCTTATTCTTAGTCTGTTCTTTGTCCAGCATTTCCCCTTGATGAATCAGCTCATTTCTAAGAATAAATGTCTGAAACCATTTCTCATTATGAGTTAGTGACACAGTAGCTGATCTTGTTGTGTTCCAGAGCACTGCAGGTCAAAGAACACGTCTGTGGAATATCAGCACTGCGGTTTTCACCCAGGTAAGAAAACCTCCGGTGTGAACTGCAAAATCCAGTCTGAGACAAGTTTCATTTGTCTCTGCTTTTACAGATGGAGTCCATGATTTAGTCTGTTTTGGGAAACCCAATCAGTCAGTGAAAAACTGTACCTGGAAACCTGGAAAACACACATCCAAAAACACGTACACACTCGTCCATCAACAAACCAAACGGTTTTGCTCCTTGTTTTTAGTATTGTTGTTCAAGTCAGGGTTGTCTTTCTTTTAAATATCTAATATTTTGTTTGTCTGTTCCAGTGGAACCAAAGCCACCTGCTACATTTTCAACAACATCACTACATTCCATTTAAATACCCGCAAAGTGTTTGAAAATTACGACACTATTATAGTGGAGGTTTTTGAAAACGCACACACAGGAAACTGCACGAAAGCTGTTTTCCAAGGTTCACCAAAGCACCTGTGTAAGTACAGATAATTGTGTTGCATTTGACTAAATCCACTCTTACAAATCAAATTGTCTTGTGTTTTACTGAAACGGTTTCAGTACGCTGTGACGCTCCCAGCTCTGCGTCCTTCAGTCGCCCTGCAGGAGGACTGAACGTGACCGTGACCTGGAATCAGTCCGAAGAAACAATGATCAAAAGCTTTTCTGTCAGACTTAGAAAAGTGGGCAGCTCTTCATGGAACGAGGTGCGTAATATAAAAACTGTGCATTCTGATCACACAGAAGTAGGGGTGTAAGAAAATATCGATACACTGAAATATCGCGATGTTTTATTTCCCGATACTGTATCGATATTCTAAAGCCCTGTATCGATTTTTTATTAAGGTTTAAAATGTCAACCTTCTTGCCAACCGCTCATTTTTATGTTGTAGTTCAGCCTCTGACCACTAGTTGGCAGCAGTGAGCCAGCCATTTGGCTCCTCTATCTCTTGAGCACCAGAGAGTAAGGGTAGCATTAGCATTGTGAGTAAACATTAGCTTTTCTTTTTCTTTTTTTTTCAGTAAGAGGTTTTTATTTAATAGAATTTTTGGACAAAAAAAATCGCAATATATCACAATATACTGCCTTGCGTACATTATCGCAATAAATGGGGATATATCGTATCGTGACCCCTCTGTTATGATATATATCGTATCGCCAAATTCTTGCCAATACACAGTCCTACACAGAAGCAGAATTTATATCATATTTGAGTCTGGAGTGAGCACCAAAAGGACGCATTACTCTGAGAAGTCCTTTCTTAATGTTTAGGTTTAAAAAATTGGGAAACATTTTCAAAATTACAACATAACTTTATAACAATCAAAGTTAAAAAATGCCAACATTTTATTTTGCATGAACTGTAAATCCAGGTCAAAAGAAATGTTAAATCTGCTGCCAGTGACCCAGTGTAGTTGTCATGGTAATTGCACACCTGTGTCTTTCACTCCCTGACTGTCACAAACCTAAACCTTTTAAAAAAAGTCAGAAAGTTCCCATTTTTTAGAACTGACATGTTTTTTGGTCCTTTAAACAAAATCCAAAAAAAAAAATTTTTTTTTTCCACATCACTTTGTTTATGATATATTTTTTGTATCAAATCTGATACACTGGGCTGTTTTTAGTAACACTTTGCTCACAACAAAGTTAAATTAAGAAACAAAAGACAGTTTAGTCCATAACGTTTAACAAGTTTAGAACACTCTAGGAAGTTTACTTCTATGTTTTTGTTTTACAATGAACATTTTACAGCCATTTATTTCACTTGGTGGTAGGCACAAATACAGTTTCTGTCCTTGTTCAGGCACAGATGTACCTTACACTTTATAAAAAATCACCATCTATTATCAAATTGATGACATTTTCTTACTTTCTTTTTTTCTCTCTTCTTCCTCAATTTTCTTTGACATCCAACAGGTAAATAATTAATCAGTACAGCGTAGAGATTATAATTTCAAAGGAAAACACTTTGAAAATAGCCAAAATGTGTTTTCAAATGGCATTTCAGTAATTAATCAATCATCCAAAATAGTGTGTGTTGTATTGTGGTAAGAATACTGTTGATTCAGGACTGGAGCACTTTATATACCTGCAGTCTCAAATTTGATACACACATTTTTAACACGGTTTAACTGTACTATTAAAAATATTTTTTTAAGTAATAATGCGTTGTTTCAACACAGAAAGTATTTATTCAAAAAATTACAAACAATATTTATGTTATTCTTACCATAACTTCTCCAAAATTAGCAAAAGTTTTCCTGAAAAAAATGTGTGGATGACCTCATGTCAGCAGACATTTTGAAAAGGCAAAAAAATAAATAAATAAATAAAATAAAATAAAAAAACAAATAAAAAGTTCCACTTCCTGCAGTACATTGATATCCACCAGAGGGCAGAATACAGGTCTCAAATGATATACAACAGGTTTTTGAGGAAAATATTTATCACATTGATAAAATATAGGTCATAGAATCCTGCGTAGTAAATATAATACAAATGGCAATTTAAAGAGGAGACAGAAGGATAAACCTTAAATAGCAACTGTGCAAAAACTCTGTCAGATCTCAAAAATATTGTAACTGTGAGCAAAAGAAAACTCTGATAGTCACATATGTAAAAGTTTATCTTGCTGCGGTTAGGGCTGCCACGATTAATCGATTAATCGATGACTATTCGATTGTTAAATAATCGATGACTAATTTAATAATCGATTAATCGTTTTCTTTTTTTTTTTTGTTCTTCACTTTGTTTTTCTCTCCAAACTGCTTTGACACCTTCCACTGCCACATCTGCCTTTCTGTCCTTGACACACATGCACAGTAGTGGTAACTGGGGTA